CAGGGTAAGTCGGCACATCACCTTTTGATGTGTGCTCGCTGATTCACTTAAGTTGTCACTCGCAGGTACTGCGTCCCGACAAGCTCATCTTCAGCTACTCTGACAAGGGACTGTGGGGGGGAGGAACAAGCAGCTCTGCTACCTAGGTCGAAGAAGGCTGTGAACAGCGAGGGGCAAGTCACTTGGTATTGCGTAGCTAATCTTGCCTGCTCCAGACACAGGGGAGTAGGGCTCTGCACTCAAGGGACGACGGCACGGCAAGCAGTTGCAGGTCTCAAAATGGAGTGTACGGCGACCTCTGCTCTGGACTAAGTAACCGTCCTGAGACGTAGCTCGGAGTGCTGACCTTTCACCTACAGGACCTTAAGGAGCAGCATCCGACTTGTCGTGAGACGGGAACAACAAATACCAAAACAGCGCTTCGGAGGTGTCTCTTTGATCAGTTCCAGCAATTCCAGCCCGGCACTCAGCCTGCGCGCTCTGCGGCTCCTATGAAGGATCAACCTGCTCCTCACCCCAACACTCAGCCTGCTCATGACGCCTCCAACGCAACAGGGCAGCTTAGTACTCAGCGGTCGGACCCCTCGGCACCTAGTGCTACGTCTTCTCGTCTTCCCGTTTTCTGGATCGATCAAAAGCAAGAACCCACAAAAAATTGAAAGACCTAAAAAAACAATCACCAAAAGAGCGCTTCGGTCTCGGTCTCGGTTTCGTCTGGGCTACAACTTATCGATCACTAAAAGCAAAACCACAAAAAACTGAAAGACAAAAAACAATCACCAAAAAAGCGCTTCGGTCTCGGTCTCGGTCTCGTCTGGGCTACGTCTGGGCTACGTCTTCTCGATCTGCTAAATGCAAACGCAGAACCCACGAAAACCAAAAGGCCCACAAAACAATCACCAAACAAGTGTTTGGGATGTCGTTCAAGACTCTCTATTACTGGGCTACTTTTCTCATCTTCTCAATCCGCTGAGAGCAAACGCAAAACCCACAAAAAATCAAAAGACCCACAAAACAATCACCAAAAAAGTGCTTCGGATGTCGTTCAAGACTCTCTAGGACTGGGCTACATCTTCTCATCTTCTCGTTTTCTTGTCTTCTCGTGTTCTCATCTTCTTGATGCAGCACAGAAACAAAACCAACAAAAAACCAAAAGGCCAACAAAAAAATCACCAAAAAAGCGCTTCGGTCTTGTCTCTAGTACTGGCTACCTTTAAGAATCTCTAATGACGTATCTCCAATGCAGGGCTGGTTTGACACTTTTGATAGAATGTGATTGTGCTTGTGTCGATTGCGAGCTATCCAACATCACCATTGTGCATGGTACGCCGATCGGGCAAGGGGCTCACCCATAGAGTTAGACGCGTGCTGGGGTGCTTTGGGCTGATAATCAAAAAATCAAAAGTCACGAGTCAAGAGTCAGTGAGTGGTGTGCTACTACTCAAACTTTGATTTACAACTCACGTGACTGTGAGTGGCGCAGGCACGCATCAAGTCACTGATTCTTGATTAAGTCTTACTGTGTGACTTGTCAGTTGGAGTCACCGTTGGGTGCGGAGCAGTCATTTGTTGAAATGCGCGCAAAGGTCTAGAGTCTGAGTGCTTCCTCGTCCGTCCCTCAGCTCCTACCTCTACTTTGGCTGTACCAGTGTATCAAGTCTTTGTCTTCATTCTCAGAGCATCCAAAGTCAGCATCACATAGCGCCTGCTTCTTTACAACCTACGACTCTCGGTTTTACAATGCTCGTTGCACAAACAGCATTACGATGGAAGGTAGGGGGGAGCAGTCTGCTCAGACATCCGCCGCCACTCAGAATTCAGAGGCCCAGGCAGCGACAATGGCCGCTGCGGAGACTTCTTCTCCACACGTGAAGCAACACCAATACTGCTCAGCGCTCAGACCAGCTCTGCGTCAAAGTTGCAAGAGTGCAAACCAGCATTTGCAATCTGAGCGTACAGCTTACGCTTCTTCTGACACATTTGATCACCTGCAAGAGCGATATCGAGACCGTCTTGAACACCTGCCTTAAGATGGACGACACTGCCAGCACGAGCCAGAACCTGCTCAAAGAGGTACACTTGCAGCAGAAAACCACCTCATGGTCTACGTGGGTGCTGCGTGTATTCCTGGCAATTGTGTTCATCAACCAGATCAAGATCATGAACAATCAGGAGGAGCTTTCGAAGGCCTTACAAAAGCTACAACAAGGCCAAGCACAAGCTATGTCCCCGCAATGCTCGCTCATGGACGCATTCTGGCCGTTGTCTGTCTTGACGGACTCAAGATTGACCGCCAAGGCCCAAGCACAATCCGGTCGTCCTCAAAGCGGTCGCCCTGTGCAAGGCAAAGCACGTTGAATCTCGCCTTGCGTAAGGACGCGTATTACTT